ATCATGAAGTCAAGAGATTGAGACCAGCCTGGCTAACATGGTGAAACCCCATCTCTACTAAAAATACAAAAATTAGCTGGATGTGGTGGTGAGTGGCTATAGTCCCAGCTACTCTGGAGGCTGAGGCAGGAGAATTGCTTGAACCTGGGAGGCAGAGGCTGCAGTGAGCTGAGATTGCGCCACTGTGCTCCAGCCTAAAGAAGAGCAAGACTCCGTCTCAAACAAACAAAAATCACACACTGAACACCTAGGGGAATGGGGTCTGGAAGTTTGCAAGTGGTACCCCCACTTTACAGATGGATAAATAGTGGCACCAGGACTCCAACCTAGGCTGATTTGTCTTCTAAGCTACATTGATTCCCCTGGGACGTGGAATAGAACCATGTGACTGAGTGTACATTGTGGAAGAGTGGAATATCTTTTTTGAGACAGAGTTTTGCTCATTGCCCAGGCTGGAGTGCAATGGCGCAATCTCGGCTCACTGCAACCTTGGCCTCCTAGGTTCAAGTAATTCTTGTGCCTCAGCCACCCGAGTAGCTAGGATTACAAGCATGTACCACCACGCCCGACTAAATTTTGTATTTTTAGTAGAGATGAGGTTTTACCATGTTGTCCAGGCTGGTCTCGATCTCCTGACCTCAGGTGATCCACCCACCTCAGCCACCCGAAGTGCTAGGATTATAGGCATGAGCTACCGCTCCCTGCCAGAAAAGTGGAGTTTTATCTTTAGGCCAGTTACTTATTCCATGTCCCCTCTGGTGGTGACCTCTTCTCCCTCCCCAAACCATGGGCTTCTCACAGTTGAGACAGTAGAGACAGTTTTCTCCATATTGTCGCTTTGGCGTGTGATTGGGATGTTGATAGACGGAGACAAGGTAGGACATCAGACTGAAGCTGGAATTAAGGCCCAGTTGAGAAAAGCCACCAATGGTAGCTTGGGCTTCCCATGCTCTGTGACCACCAGGGGGCAGCCCTGGCCTTGCCAAGGCACCTCCATCCCACATCCTCTACTTAGCCCTGGGGAGGCGGCCACTTCACTGCTGGGGAATGGCTGAGTTGGTCCTTCCCAAATGGTGGTTGCCCCGGTAGCTTAGAGAGGTCAAATAATTTGTTCAAGATTAAACTGGGCACAGTGGCTCACACTTGTAATCCCAGCACTTTGGGAGGCCGAAGTGGGAGGATTGCTTTAGACCAGGAGTTTGAGATCAGCCTGGGCAACACAGTGAGACCCTATCTGTACAAAAAATAAATGAGGCAAATGTGATGATGTGTGTCTGTAGTCCAAGATACTCTGGAGGCTGAGGTGGGAGTTTCACCTAAGCTCAGGAGTTCAAGGCTGTAGGAAGCTATGATCACACCACAGCCTGGTTCACAGAGTGAGACTCTGCCAAAAAAAAAAAAAAAAAAAAAGGCCAGGTTCGGTGGCTCACGCCTGTAATCCCAGCACTTTGGGAAGCCGAAGTGGGCAGATCATGAGGTCAAGAGATAGAGACCATCCTGGCCAACATGGTGAAACCCCGTCTCTACTAAAAAGACAAAAATTAGCCAGGCATGGTGGTACGTGCCTGTAATCCCAGCTACTCAGGAGGCTGAGGCAGGAGAATCACTTAAACCTGGGAGGTGGAGTTTGCAGTGAGCCGAGATCGTGCCACTTTACTCCATCCTGGCAATGGAGTAAGACTCCATCTCAAAAAAAAAAAGATTGTATAACATGATTGTGGGGATCGTGGGAGAGCTGGCATTTGAACCCAGACTCATTCCAAATCAGCATTCTTAACCATGAGATGACTGCTTCTTCTCCAAAAGATAGCTCTGAATTACTTCAGTGATGTGTGAGAACTGGACAGTCTACAAAAGTACTGTGCCACAGAGCTAGAAACACAGACACAAAGGAAAAAACATGTATTAGGCCGGGCATGGAGGCTCACACCTGTAATCCCAGGACTTTGGGAGGCCAAGGCGGATATATCACTTAAGGCCAGGCGTTTGAGACCAGCCTGAGCAACATTACAAAACCCCATCAGTACCAAAAATGCAAAAATTAGCCAAGTGAGGCCGGGTGCAGTGGCTCAAGCCTGTAATCCCAGCACTTTGGGAGGCCGAGGCAGGTGGATCACAAGGTCAAGAGATCGAGACCATCCTGGTCAACATGGTGAAACCCCATCTCTACTAAAAATACAAAAAATTAGCTGGACATGGTGGCGCGTGCCTGTAATCCCAGCTACTCAGGAAGCTGAGGAAGGAGAATTGCCTGAAGCCAGGAGGCGGAGGTTGCGGTGAGCCGAGATTGCGCCATTGCACTCCAGCCTGGGTAACAAGAGTGAAACTCCGTCTCAAAAAAAAAAAAAAAATTAGCCAAGTGAGGTGGCACATGCCTGTGAACCCAGATACTCAGGAGGCTGAGGCAGGCAAATCACTTTAGCCTGGGAGGTGGAGGTTGCTGTGAGCCGAGATTGCGCCACTGTACTTCAGTCTGGGCAACTGAGCAAGACTCTGTCTCCAAACAACAACAACATGTATTAATATAAAAGGATCCAGACCAGGACAACATAGCAAGATGCTGTCTTTCCCACCACTACGCCCAGCTAAATTTTTTATATTTTTAGTAGAGACAGGGGCTCATCATGTTGGCCAGGGTGATCTTGAACTCCTGACCTCATGATTCGCCCACCTTGGCGTTCCAAAGTGCTGGGATTACAGGCATGAGCCACTGTGCCTGGCTCTTTCAAAACTAAATAAAAATAAGTCAGTTGTGGTGGCACATACCAGTATTCCAAACTACTTGGGAGGCTGAGGCAGGAGGACTGCTGGAGTCCAGGACATTGAGGTTGCAGTGAGCAATGTTCATACCACTGTACTCCAGCCTGGGTGACAGAGTGAGATCCTTGTCTCTAAACGGTATAATAGTAACAAAACAAAAAACAAAAAAATATATAATAGTAAAAGGAGCCAGAAGGGGGCGTGTGGTAAGGGGTGGACACATGGCATATCACATGTCATCCTTCCCTTCTGTGTACTAGCTCCTGTAGCTGTGTGATACACATACAAGAGTGTCTGGCGTACTATTGTACTAATCCCTAATCCTTGTAGAGGTCTACCTTGTTTTTTATGTTCTGCAGATATGCTGTTTTTTTTTTTTTTCTTTTTGAGACGGAGTTTTGCTCTGTTGCCCAGGCTGGAGTGCAGTGGCACCATCTCGCTCACTGCAACCTCAGCCTCCCGAGTTCAAGCAATTCTCCTGTCTCAGCTTCCCAAGTAGCTGGGATTACAGGTGCATGCCACCACATCTGGCTAATTTTTATATTTTTAGTAGAGATGGGGTGATATCATGTTGGCCAGGCTGGTCTTGAACTCCTGACCTCATGATCCATATGCCTTGGTCTCTCAAAGTGCTGGGATTACAGGCGTGAGCCACCTTGTCCGGTTATGCATTTTTTTATATATTGAAGTTTGTGGCAATCCTGTGTTGAGCAAATCTATTGGTGCCACTTTTCCAATAGCCTGTGCTCACTTTGTGTCTCTGTGGCACATTTTGGTTAATTGTTGCAATATTTCAAATTTTTCATGATTATTTTATCTGTTATGATCTGTGATTAGCAATTTTTTTTTTTTGAGACAGGGTCTCACTCTGTCATTCAGGCTGGAGTGCAGTGGCAAGATCGTAGCTCACTGCAGCCTCAAACTTCTGGGCTCAAGTGATCCTTCTGCTTCAGCCTCCCAAATAGCTAAGACTTACTGGCACCCGCCAGCACACCTGGTTAACTTTTGAAAAGTTTTTTGTAGAGACACAGTCTCGCTTTGTTGCCAAGGCTGGTCTCAAACTTATGACCTCTAATGATCCCCTTACTTCAGCCTCCCAAAGTGCTGGGATGACAGGTGTGAGCCACTGTGCCCTATCATCAGTGATCTTTGATGTTCCTATTGTAATTTTTTTTTTGAAATGGAGTCTTGCTCTGTCACCCAGGCTGGAGTGCGGTGGTGCGATCTTGGGTTCGAGTGATTCTCTTGCCTCAGCCTCCTGAGTAGCTGGGACTACAGGCACCCACCAGTTACAGTGGGCGCAGTTGCTCACGCCTGTATTCCCAGCACTTTGGGAGGCTGAGGCAGGTGGATCACAAGGTCAGGAGTTCGAGACCAGCTTGGCCAGCATGGTGAAACCTCGTCTGTACTAAAAACAGAAAAATTAGCAGGGCATGGTCATGTGCACCTGTAATCTCAGCTACTTGGGAAGCTGGGACAGGAGAATTGCTTGAACCTAGGAGACAGAGGTTGCAGGGAGCTGAGATCACACCACTGCACTTCAGCCTGGGTGACAAAGCAAGACTCCGTCTCAAAAAACAACAGCAACAAAACACCCAAAATTAGCCAGGTGTGGTGGCACATGCTTGTAGTCCCAGCTCCAGCTACTCTATTTTTTTTTTTTTTTTTTTTTTTGAGACGGAGTTTCGCTCTTGTTACCCAGGCTGGAGTGCAATGGCGCGATCTCGGCTCACCGCAACCTCCGCCTCCTGGGTTCAGGCAATTCTCCCGCCTCAGCCTCCTGAGTAGCTGGGATTACAGGCACGCACCACCATGCCCAGCTAATTTTTTGTATTTTTAGTAGAGACGGGGTTTCACCATGTTGACCAGGATGGTCTCGATCTGTTGACCTTGTGATCCACCTGCCTCGGCCTCCCAAAGTGCTGGGATTACAGGCGTGAGCCACCGCGCCTGGCCCAGCTACTCTAGAGGCTGAGGCATGAGGATCACTTGAACCCTGGAGGCAGAAGTTGCAGTGAGCCAAGTTTGCACCATTGCACTCTGGCCTGGGCAACAGAGCATGACTCTATCTCAAAAAAAAAAAAGAGAGAGAGAGATCAATGCCTGGTTTCAAACCTTTGAAGGACAGGCTGACTCTCTTGTTAGGGGCCAGTTGCAGATGGTGACTTTCAATTGAAGTCAGTGCTCATTTACCATTCTGAAAATCCTAGATCCCTTAAGAATTTTTTTTTTTTTTTAAGAGCTGAGGCTGAGATGGCTCACTCCTGTAATCCCAGCACTTTGAGAAGTTAAGTGGGCAAATCAGCCTGGACATCATGAGTTTGAGACCAGCCTGGACAACATGGTAAGACCCCGCCTCTACAAAAAATACAAAAAGTATCTAGGCATGGTGATGGGTGCCTGTAGTCCCAGCTACTAAGGAGGCTCTGGTGGGAAGATGGTTTGAGCCTAGGAGGTTGAGGCTTCAGTGAGCTGTGATTGTGCCACTGCATTCTAGCCTATGCAACAGAGTGAGACCTTGTCTCAAAAGAAAGAAAGAAAGAGAGAGAGAGAGGAGATAGGGGTCTTGCTATGTTGCCCAGATTGGAGTATCATGGTGCTATGGTTTTCACAAGCAAAATCATAGTATACTGCAGCCCTGAACTTCTGTCCTCAAGTGATCCTCCTGCCTCAGCCTTCTGAGTAGCAGAGACATAGGCACGTATCACTGCACTCAGCAAGAATTAGCTAAATTTACTCTGCCATGCTCTAGAAATGGAACAGTAAAGCCTAGATGGCTGGGTATGGTGGCTCAGGCCTGTAATCCCAGTGCTTTAGGAGACCAAGGCGGGCGGATCACCTGAGGTGAGGAGGTCGAGACCAGACTGGCCAACATGGTGAAACCATGTCTTCACTAAAAATACAAAAATTAGCCGGGCATAGTGGCAGGCACCTGTAATCCCAGATACTAGGGAGGCTGAGGCAGGAGAATTGCTTGAACCCAGGGGGCGGAGGAAGTTGCAGTAAGCTGAGGTCACACCACTGTACTCCAGCCTGGGCGACAGAACAAGATTCCATCTCAAAAAAATAAGATAAAATAAAAAAGCCTAAATGCTATGCATTTGTTTACAACATGGTTTACTGATTTTAGGTTTTCGTTTCAGGCCAGGCCTGGTGGCTCATGCCTGTAATTCCAGCACTTTGGGAGGCTGAGGTGGGCGGATCACAAGTCAAGAGATCGGGGCCATCCTGGCCAACATGATGAAACCCTGTCTCTATTAAAAATACAAAAATTATCTGGGTGTGGTGGCATGCATCTGTAGTTCCAGATGCACTACTCTGGAGGCTGAGGTAGAAGAATCACTTGAACCCAAGAGGCGGAGGTTGCAGTGAGCCGAGATGGCACCACTGCACTCCAGCCTGGCACCAGAGCGAGACTCCATCTCAAACAAACAAAGGAACAAAACATTCTTTTCTTTTATTTTTTTCTGAGACACACTCTCAATCTGTTGCCCAGGCTGTAGTACAGCAGCATGATTTCAGTCCACTGCAACCTCTGCCTTCCAGACTCAAGTGATCCTCCTCCTAAGTCACCCTCCTGAGTAGCTGGGACCACAGACATGAGCAATTATGCTCAGCTAATTTTTGTATTTTTTTGTAGGGATGGGGTTTCATCATGTTGCCTAGGCTGGTCTCCAACCATTTTTTTTTTTTTTTTGGAGACAGAATTTCATTCTTGTTGTCTAGGCTGGAGTGCAACGGCGCCATCTTGGCTCACTGCAACCACCGCCTCCTGGGTTTAAGTGATTCTCCTACCTCAGCCTCCCAAGTAGCTCGGATTACAGGTATGCACTACCATGCCTGGCTAATTTTGTATTTTTAGTAGAGACGGGGTTTCTCCATGTTGGTCAGGCTGGTCTTGAACTCCTGACCTCAGATGATCCATCCACCTCCACCTCCCAAAGTGCTGGGATTACAGGTGTGACCCATCATACCTAGCCCAAATTTGCTCTTTTTTTTTTTTTTTTAAAAGCTTCTCTTACTACTATTCCCAACTTAAATTTTATTTTATTTAGAGACAAGGTCTTACTCCATTGCTCAGGCTGGAATGCAGTGGCAAAATCATAGCCCACTGCATTCTTGAACTCCTGGGCTCGAGGAATTCTCCAGTCTCAACTTCTGAGTAGCTGGTATTATTGGCACGTGCCACCATGTCCGGCTAATTTTAAATTTTTTTGTAGAGACAGGGTCTTGTCATGTTGTCCAGGCTGGTCTCAAACTCCTGGCCTCAAGCAATTCTCTAGCCTTGGCCTCCCAAAGTGCTGGGATTACAAGTGTGAGCCATTGTGCCTAGCCAGTTTTTTGAATATTTTAAGCCTACTGTTGAGGCCTACTGCTCTGAAAAATAAAATTTCTTTAAAATGATTACTGCTCATTGACAATGTACATGGTTACCCAAGAGCTCTAGCTCTGATGAAGATGTCCAAAGAGATGTATGTTGTTTTCATGCCTGCTAACATAACATCCAGCCTGTAGCCCATGGTTTAAGGAGTAATTTAGACTTTCAAGTATTATTATTTAAGAAATACATTTCATAAGGTTGTATCTTCCATAGATAGTGAATCCTTTGATGGATCTGGGCAATGTAAATTGAAAGCCTCTGGAAGAGATTTACCATTCTAAATGCCATTAAGAACATTCATGCTGGGCATTGGGGCCATGCCTGTAATCCCAGCACTTTGGGAGGCCAGGGCAGGGGATCACTTGAGGTGAGGAGTTCAAGACCAACCTGGCCAACATGGTGAAACCCTGTCTCTACTAAAAATACAAAAAAAATTTAGCCAGGTTTGGTGGCGTGTACTTGTAGTCCCAGCTGCTTGGGAGGCTGAGGCAGAAGAATTGCTTGAGCCTGAGAAGTGGAGGTTGTAGTGAGCCAAGATCAGGCCACCACATTCCAGCCTAGGTGACAAAGGGAGACTCTGTTCAAACAAAAAAATTCATGACTCATGACTCATGGGAGGTAGAAATATTAACATTTATAGGAGTTTTGGAAGTTGATTCTCACCCTCATAGATCACTTTGAAGGATTCAAGACTTCTTTGGAGGAAGTAACTGCAGATGTGATAGAAATAGTAACAGAACTAGAATTAGAAGTGGAGCCTGGGCTGGGCGTGGTAGCTCATGTTTATAATCCAGCACTTTGGGAGACCAAAGTGGGTGGATCACAAGGTCAGGAGTTTGAGACCATCCTGTCCCGTTTTTACTAAAAAAAACAAAAATAGCGTGGTGGTGCACGCCTATAGTACCAGCTACTCAGGAGACTGAGGCAGAAGAATTGTGTCAATCCGGGAGGCAGAGGTTGCAGTGAGCTGAGATCATGCCACTGCACTCCAACTTGGGCGACAGAGTGAGACTCCGTCTGGAAAAAAAAAACTGGAGCCTGAAAATGTGACTGAATTGCTACAATCTTATTAAACTTGAACAGATAGCCAGGTTCAGTGGCTCACGCCTGTAGTCCCAGCACTTTGGGAGGCTGAGGCTGGCAGATCATGAGGTCAGGAGTTCAAGACCAGCCTGACCAATATGTTGAAACCCTGTCTCTACTAAAAATACGAAAATTAGCCAGGCGTGGTGGTACGCACCTGTAATCCCAGCTACTTGGGAGGCTGAGGTAGGAGAATTGCTTGAACCTGGGAGGCAGAGGTTGCAGAGCCAAGAACACACCACTGCACTCCATCCTGGGCGTCAGAGCGAGACTCTGTCTCAAACAAAACAAAACAACACTCGGCTAATTTTGTATTTTTAGTAGAGACGGAGTTTTACCATGTTGGTCAGGCTGGTCTTGACCTCAGGTGATCCGCCTGCCTCAGCCTCCCAAAGTGCTTAGATTACAGGTGTGAGCCACCACCCCGGCCTAGTGGCAGGTTTTGAAAGAAGTTCTACTGTGAGTAAAAGGCTATCATACAGCATCATGTGCCACTGAGAAATCTGTGAGAGTAAATCGATGCAATGAACTTCACCGCTGTCTTCTTTTAAGAAAGTGCCTGGCCGGGCGCGGTGGCTCACGCCTATAATCCCAGCACTTTGGGAAGCCGAGGCGGGTGGATCACGAGGTCAAGAGATCGAGACCATTCTGGTCAACATGATGAAACCCCATCTCTACTAAAAATACAAAAATTAGCTGGGCATGGTGGCACGTGCCTGTAATCCCAGCTACTCAAGAGGCTGATGCAGGAAAATTGCTTGAACCCAGGAGGCGGAGGTTGCGGTGAGCCGAGATCAAGCCATTGCACTCCAGCCTGGGTAACAAGAGCAAAAACTCTGTCTCAAAAAAAAAAAAAAAAAAAAAAAAAGAAAGAAAAAGAAATTGCCACAGCCACCCCAGCCTTCAGCAACTGCCACACTAATCCATCAGCAGTCATCAAATCAACATCAAGGCACCAGCAAAGAACCTACACCAGCAAAAAGATTCTTACTTGCTGAAAGGTCAGATTATCCTTAATGTTATTTAGCAATAAAATATTTTGAAAGTTAGGTACGTAGACTTTTTTCAAACATAATGCTATTGTACGTCTAATAGACTACAGTATAATGAAACATAACTTTTATATGTACTGGGAAACCAAAAAAATCTGTGACTTGCTTTGTTGTGATACTCCATTTATTATGGTAGTTTGGAAGTAAACACAAAATATCTCTGAGGTATGCCTGTATAACCTTGGAGTTACCTGTAATGCATGTGTGTGTGTAAAAATAAATTTTATGCGTATTAAAACAATATGCAGTTTGCAGGTTCTCAATAAATGCTAGTTAAATGGTGGATTTCCCAGTGGGGAATAAGTCCCTGTAGAAGGCACTAGATAAAGTTGACTATGGGCTGGGTGCGGTGGCTCATACCTGTAATCCCAGCACTTTGGGAGGCCGAGGCAGGTGGATCACAAGGTCAGGAGTTTGATACCAGCCTGGCCAACATGGTGAAACCCCCATCTGTACTAAAAATACAAAAATTAGCCGGGTGTGGTGGTGGGTGCCTGTAATTCCAGCTAAGCGGGAGGCTGAGGCAGGAGAATTGCTTGCAACCGGAAGGTAGAGGTTGTAGTGAGCTGAGATCAAAACCACTGCACTCCAGCCTGGGCGAAAGAGCGAAACTGTCTCAAAAAAAAAAAAAGCTGACCTCTGCTAGGGGTGTATTCCCTTAATTGAGATACAAATATAAATGAATCCAAACCCTTCCATCAGCTGCACTCACTCGTCTGCTAAATCACCTAAGTCAACACCATCAAAGGAAAAGACGGTGGTTGAGGCCGGGCATGGGTGACCCACTGTGGGAGGCTGAGGGGTGAATTGTTTGAGCTCAGGAGTTGGATACCAGCCTGGGCAACATAGGGAGACCCCATCTCTACAATAAGTACAAAAATTAGCCTGGTGTGGTGGTGTGTGCCTGTAGTCCCAGCTACTCAGAAGACTGAATTGGGAGGATCGATTGAGACCGGGAGGTTGAGGCTGCCATGAGCCATGATGGTGCCACTGAACTCTGGCTGAGCCAAGACGGAGACAGACCCTATCTCAAAAAACCAAAACAGCAATCCCAGCACTTTGGGAGGGCGAGGTTGGCTGATCACTTGAGATCAGGATTTTGAGACCAGCCTGGCCAACATGGTAATACCCCATCTCAACAAAAATTAGCCGGGTGTGATGGTGTGTGCCTGTAATCCCAGCTATTTGGAAGGCTGAGGCAGGAGAACTGCTTGAACCTGTGAGGCAGAGGTTGCAGTGAGCCAAGATCACTCCACTGCACTCCAGCCTGGGCTACAGAGTAAGACTCCATCTCAAAAAAAAAAAAACAAAACACTCAACCAACCAAAGAAAAAGACACACACACACACACACACACACACACACACACACACACACCGTGATTGCTGTGTAAATAAAATATAGCTTCACCAATTGGCTTGCTTCTCTTAATCCCTCATAGAAATCCTGGAGCAGCTGTGGGGTTCAGTGAGGCCAGACTCCAGGAAGGGAATGGGTGGGATGGGTCTGGGCACTGGTGAGCAGTGGGGAGAGGAAGTAGGTTAGCTTCTAGGCTGAGAAGTGCTCCTGGAGGCTTATTCTGGGTAAAAGCTGGTCTTCTCGAACCTCGGAAGGTGGGGGAACCCACATCCTGGTCTCACCCACCCAACCGCCCACTCACCCTCGGGTTAGCAGCCATCTAAGCCCCACCCTCCCCCTCACACATTTAGGTAGGCTGCCACAAGCTGGCCTCTTGCCCTCCTAGAGACAGACATCACCACCAGCATCGTCCTCTCTCCTCAGGGAGGCATGCATTTGATGCTTGAGGTCCCTGGCAGTTGTGATCGTTCCCAAGTGATATGTGAGTCCTGTGTGTCATAGGAAGCTCCCCGTCCCCATCTGGGGACCAAAGGCCTGGCTACAAGTAGTGAGTCCTCCCTCCTCCACCCAGACCTCACTGCTCAGATCCCCTTCGCCAACTGGGACATCTTCCGACATGGCCTGGATGCTGTTGCTCATCTTGATCATGGTCCATCCAGGTGACAGGGCGTGTGCTCAGGACTCCAAGGAGTGTGGGTGGGAGGAGGAAGATCCAGAAGGTTGGACTAGATGCTATAGGGAGCAAGCCTGGGGGTGGCTGAAACACCCAGTTCTGAGGGAGGAGTGGGGCCTCTCCAAAGACACTCGGTGGATTCCCTAATTCACAGACTCTCTGTGTCACCCACTGTGAGGCTTTTTAGCTAGGGTCTAGACATATAATTAGGAGTTTGAGAGATCCAAGTAAATCTATGATAAATTTCTTGGTGAAACTGGTTTTTTGTTTTTTGTTTTTGAGATGGAATCTTGCTTTGCTGCCCAGGCTGGCGTGCAGTGGTGCAATCTTGGCTCACTTCAACCTCCCGTGTTCAAGCGATTCTCCTGCCTCAGCCTCTAGAGTAGCTGGGACAACAGGCACACCCCACCACACCTGGCTAGTTGTTTTTGTTGTTTGTTTTTTTTTTTGAGACAGTCTTGCTCTATTGCCTAGGCTGGAGTGCAGTGGCATGATCTTGGCTCACTGCAACCTTTGCCTCCCGGGTTCAAGCAATTCTCCTGCTTTAGCCTCCCGAGTAGATGGAATTACAGGCACGTGTCACCACACCCAGCTAATTTTTGCATTTTTAGTAGAGACAGGGTTTCCCTACATTGGCCAGGCTGGTCTCGAACTCCTGACCTCAGGTGATCTGCCTGTCTTGGCCTCCCAAAGTGCTAGGATTATAGGTCCCAGTCATTTTTATATTTTCAGTAGAGATGGGGTTTTGCTATGTTGGCCAGGCTGGTTTCAAACTCCTTATCTCAAGTGATCCGTTTGCCTTGGCCTCCCAAAGTGTTGGGATTACAGGCATGAGCCACTGTGCCCCACCTGGTGAAACTGTTTTTTTTTTTTTTTGAAACAGCCTCCTTCTACTGCCTAGGCTGGAGTGTAGTGGCGCTATTTTGGCTCACTGTAGCCTCCACCTCCTGGGTACAAGTGATTCTCCTGCCTCAGCCTCCCAAGTCGCTGGGATTATAGGTTCATGTCACTACTGCTGACTAACTTTTGTATTTTTAGTAGAGACGAGGTTTCACCATGTTGATCAGGTTGGTCTCAAACTCCTGACCTTAGGTGATCCACTCTCCTTGGCTTCCCAAAATGCTGGGATTACAAGCATGAGCCACCATGCCCGGCTAAAACTGTTTTTAATGAACTGAGAGACATTAACCAACAGGCATATTCATTGACAAAATGCAGGAGTTCTCAAAATGTGGTTTCCTGGGAACCTGGGACAAATTCTCAGGCCCCACTCCAGACCTACTGAATTGAAAACTCTAGGGGTGGGCCCAGGAATCTGTTTTTTAGCAAATGCTTCAGGTAATTTCCATACACACTTAAGTTTGAGAACCACTGAAATAGAATGACTGGTAAATTTCCCTAAGTAGGTAATTTAATGAGAGATTTTAATATTGGTTTAATTCATCAATATGGATGAGTTAAATAGGAATCTCAACCAATTAAGGTCATATCTTCACCTGGAGACTTAATTAGTTAATGTTCTTTTTTTTTTTTTTTTTAATTTGAGACGGAGTCTTGCTCTGTCACCCAGGCTGGAGTGCAGTGACTCAATCTTGGCTCACTGCAACCTCCACCTCCGGGGTCCAACCGATTCTCCTGCCTCAGCCTCCCAAGTAGCTGGGATTACAGGTGCCTGCCACCACACCTAGCTAATTTTTTTGTATTTTTAGTAGAGACAGGGTTTCACCATGTTGACCAGGCAGGTCTTGAACTCCTGACCTCATGATCTGCCTCCCTCGGCCTCCCAAAGTGCTGGGATTACAGGCGTGAGCCACTGCGCCTAGCTAGTTAACGCTTTTTTTTTTTTTTTTTTTTGAGACGGAGTTTCGCTCTTGTTACCCAGGCTGGAGTGCAATGGCACAATCTCGGCTCACTGCAACCTCTGCCTCCTGGGTTCAGGCAATTCTCCTGCCTCAGCCTCCTGAGTAGCTGGGATTACGGGCATGCGCCACTGTGCCCAGTTAATTTTTTGTATTTTTAGTAGAGACGGGGTTTCACCATGTTGACCAGGATGGTCTCGATCTCTTGACCTTGTGATCCACCCGCCTCGGCCTCCCAAAGTGCTGGGATTACAGGCTTGAGCCACCGTGCCCGGCCTAGTTAACGCTTTTTAACAAAAAACAGAGTGGCTGGGCGCAGTGGCTCACGCCTGTAATCCCAGCACTTTGGGAGGCTGAGGGAGGAGGATCACCTGAGGTCAGGAGTTTGAGACCAGCCTGACCAACATGGTGAAACTCCGTCTCTACTAAAAATACAAAAATTAGCTGGGCATGGTGGCCCATGCCTGTAATCCTAGCTACTCAGGAGGCGGAGGCAGGAGAATCACTTGAATCCAGGAGGCGGAGGTTGTAGTGAGCCAAGATCGTGCCATCGCACTCCAGTCTGAGGGCAACAGATTAAGACTTTGCCTTGAAAAAAAAAAAAAAGAAAGAAAAGAAAAGAGAAAAAGAACAAGGATGGCTTACTATGCAATGCCATTAGTACTAAAATACCTGGAATAATATAATTAGTGATGTTCGTCAACCAGGCAGCTGCATTCGTTAATAAGCTTCATTTCTCTATGATGGTTTACATTTTAGCTGGACAAGTTACTACTGAACTGGCTGGAGAATGATGGCAGAGGGTGAGAGTGAGACTTGGTATAGGAAGAATTGGAAAAATGATTGATTGAATAAGCAATGTTAAGAAATCAGATTGGAGGCCGTGCGCAGTGACTTACGCCTATAACCCCAGCACTTTGGGAGGCCGAGGCTGGTGGATCACGAGGTCAAGAGATGGAGACCATCCTGGTCAACAAGGTGAAACCCCCGTCTCTACTAAAAATACAAAAAGCAGCTGGGCATGGTGGCGTGCGCCTGTAGTCCCAGCTACTCGGGAGGCTGAGGCAGGAGAATTGCTTGAACCCAGGAGGCGGAGGTTGCGGTGAGCCAAGATCGGGCCATTGCACTCCAGCATGGGTAACAAGAAGGAAACTCCGTCTCAAAAAAAAAAAAAAAAAAAAGAAAAGAAAAGAAAAAAGAAAAATCAGATTGGTTGGGCCAGGTGCTGTGGCTCACATCTGTAATCCCAGCACTTTGGGAGGCTGAGGCAGGCAGATCACAAGGTCAGGAGTTAGAAACCAGCCTGACCAACCTGGTGAAACCCCATCTCTACTAAAAATACAAAAATTAGCCAGGTGTGGCGGTACACGCCTGTAATCCCAGCTACTTGGAAGGCCGAGGCAGGAGAATCACTCTTAGCTGGGAGGCAGAGGTTGCAGTGAGCGGAGATCTCGCCACTGTACTCCAGCCTGGGCCACAGAGCAAGACTTCAACTCAAAAAAAACAAAAAAAAAAAAGAAAGAAATCAGATTGGTTAAGACGAAAGGGTTTCATGAGGCACCCAAAGTGTCTATTCCATGAACCCTATACCTGAGACAGCTGGGATGTTCTACTATAAGCTCACCTGTCTTTTCTCTTTGGAGTAACTCGGGAGCGTTTCTCTGGGTCTTCCTTCTGCCTCCAGGATCCTGTACTCTCTGGGTGTCCCAGCCCCCTGAGATTCATACCCTGGAAGGATCCTCTGCCTTTCTGCCCTGCTCCTTCAATGCCAGCAGAGGGAAACTGGCCATTGGCTCCGTCATGTGGTTCCGAGATGAGGTGGTTTCAGGGAAGGAGGTGAGGAATGGAACCCCAGAGTTCAGGGGCCGCGTGGCCCCCCTTGCTTCTTCCCGTTTCCTCCATGACCACCAGGCTGAGCTGCACATCTGGGACGTGCGAGGCCATGACGCCGGCATCTACTTGTGCAGGGTGGAGGTGCTGGGCCTGGGTGTCGGGACAGGGAATGGGACTCGGCTGGTGGTGGAGAAAGGTGAGATGCTGGGAGGTGGCGTCTCTTCCTGGCTGGAGGCCCCAAGAGGCAATGTCCTTGGGAGTCAGGGATCTTCCCCTGGGGTCCCTATCCTCCTAGGAAGAAGTGCACACAGAAGAAGCCTGTGTGCACTTCTTCCCCAACCTCTTCTCCATTGCCCCGTGCAGAACATCCTCAGCTAGGGGCTGGTCCAGTCCTCCTCCTTCGGGCTGGATTCTATGCCATCAGCTTTCTTTCTGTGGCCGTGGGCAGCACCCTTTATTACCAGGGAAAATGTGAGTAATGGAGCCAGGGGCAATAGTGGACAAGATGGGAGGGGTAGTAACAGAGTGGGAGGAGGGGGGACAGAGACCAGGGAGAGGAGAGCCTTGGGGGACTTCGACACTAAGCAGCTCCTGTCCTCTCTCTGACCAGGCCACTGTCACATGGGAACATGCTGCCACTCCTCAGATGGCCCCTGAGGAGTGATCCCAGAGCCCAGTGATCCGCAGTCCTCTTCAGAAGACCCCAATAAATCGCTCTCTGCCCCACCGCTAACTCCTCCTTATGAGTCTCATGTGTTTTCTTCTCCATTCTCCAGATGCCCAATCTCCCCTCTCTGGATTCCCCCAGTTCTGAACTCTCCCTTCCACCAGGTCTAACCGGGAAAAGTGCAAGAAGGCAGCTTCCAGCTGTGGTGCCCAGGGCCCCTCCCACCGCCATGTGGGGGCTCAGCACACCTGTTTCCCCAGACCCAGGAGGCTGAGCCTGATTGTCCTAAGAAATGGGAAGAATCAGATATGACCCCTCCTTGGCAACTGCCATTTCCTGCCAGGCTCACACATACTCTCTCTTGGCTGTTAGGGGAGCCTGGGTCCCTGAAGACTCTCATTTGCCCAATAAATCACTACTTGATCCCAGAGTGGGTGGGAGGGTGAACCACTCGTTTTTTTTTTTAATTTTAATTTTTACATAACAAACTCCCTATTCAAAGGTCAAAAAGCCACAGAAGTTTTGATGATAATCATTTTGAACGGAGGCTCGAGATGGACGACAGGAGTGGGGGGACCACGGTCTTTACTGGGTGGACCACCGGGTGACCCTGTCCGCCTGCCTGGGTTGAGGGGGGTGTCTGGGGTGCTCAGGTGGGTTTGTTCTCAGCAATGCAGGCATAGTCAGCTCTGGGATCCTCCTTGGTGCCTCTCTCTTCTCTGTCCCTGAGGTCAGGTCCCTCGCTGCTGGGCACTGGCAGCCTCTGCAGTGATGCATAGTGGAGCTCCTGCTCCGAGGACCCCTGGGCCTGGGGCTAGGACAGAAGGTGCTGATGGGAGGCCACAGCTTCAGGTCCTTCCCTGTGAGTTCTGCTCCTGCCTCCAGCCTTCCTTACTTCCCTGACTCATATTCTCTCTCTCTCTCTCTCTCTCTCTCCCTCTCTCTCTCTCTCTCTCTCTCTCTCTCTCTCTGCAGAGTCCCACTGTGTTTTCCAGGCTGGTCTTATCCCTGAGCTCAAGCTATCTTCCTCCTTCAGCCTCCTAATAGCTGGAAGTACAGGCGTGAGCCACTGTGCCTGGTTCTAGAGCTTCTCTGTCTCTCTGTCTCTCACTGCACTTTCTCTTTGTGCCTTTTTCACTCTCATTCTCTCCCTGTCTCTCACTCCTGTCCTCTCTCTCACTTTTTCTCTTGGTTTCTGTCTCCTTTTCTCTCTCTCGCCCTAATTTTCTCTGCCTTCCTCATGCTCCTACTTTCCTCTCTCCTCATCTCCCGCCCTCACCCCTCCTCTCAGCGCTCAGCCACACTTCTCCCCCCTCACCCACTCAGGTCCTCTCTTGCCCTCCCCCTTCCCTGTCCCCGGACTCACCCAGCTGCTCTCCAGCCTCTTTACTGGAAGAAAAGAAGAAGCTCAGCACAGACCACCCTTGGTGCTTCTCCCGGCCCCTCACTGGCTCCCCACCCCAGCAGGCATGGGCTCCCTTGTTGGCTTCCCCGTGGCTCCAGAGCCAGGCAGCGAGCGTTCTGGGAAAGCAGCGGGAAAGGGTGTGGGTGGGGCTACAGGGGGCCCTAATGCGGGGCGAGGAGGGAGTGTGGCGCTCACCTCTGCGATGCAGCCGACAAAGGCAGACTGACAGAAGGACCACAGCCAGAAGCAGGAGCCCACCCAGTCCCAGGCCCCCGTAGAGGTATATACTACCTACAGGGAAAAGGGCTCGAGGTTAGGGACCCCCTTTCCAGCCTACTCCCGCCTCCCGGTTGGTTGCTGCTTTCTCTGATTCCCTCTCCAACAGTTTTAGAGGCAGAAAAATATAACCTCAGAGCTTCACCCCAGACCTCAATGCCTCACCTCCTACCAGGGTACATCGGTTATCTTGCTGCATAGCTGAGACCACTCACCCTTCAGAGGCTTCCCAATGAAATCCCTGCTGTTTCTGGGCCTCCTGTGAGGTCCCTTTCCCTCCTGCATCAGCTGTCCCCAGAGGCTGTCCACCTAGTCATGAGCCTCACACATCACTGTTCCCCATCACCTCCTGAACTCCCAGGACCCTCCCTATGCTGATGCTAGCGGCCCTTTACTTACACATATTGCCATTCCAATCTGGCATTATTAAGTCGGGGATCAGGGACTGGCCTGGAGGTCAGGAACTCTAGCCCTTGCTCTTTTAGGTGAAATGATCAGGGGTTAGTCACATGCCTCAAGTTCCTCATCTGCGAATTGAGGGGCCCTCTGTTACAATCGTTCCCAGGCTGGGGAGCCTCACTTATGTGCCAACCCTGAGCTGACACTTTCCATTCCTCACTGCTAATTCCCAGAACACAGGGTATCATGGTGTCCACTGTCCAAGCAAGGACCCGAGATTCAAGCCTGAACTTGACTATCTCCATCCCAGAAGAGGGGAGCTGGAGTTTAAGGCCAGCTCTGCCCAGCTCCAGAGCCCAGCCCTTTCCTCTGCCCTGGGCTGACTAGGTGGTTTGAAGGGGCCTTTCCAGCCCTGGATGGTTTTAGGTGCTGGTAAGGGGCTGATGGAGCGGAAAGAGCCTGGGCCTGGGTGGGTGTGGGCACTGGGAGGAAGTAGGGAGGGTGATGTCAGCACACCCAGCAGCTGGGCTGCTCCCTGAGCCTCAGAGCAGCGCGGGGGTGTGGGGGCCCCCTTGGCTAGTGTGGAGACCCGCTTCCCACAGGCAGATGTTGCTGGGGCTGAAGTGGGGCATGGAGGAGCGTCTGGGGCCCCTTAACTTCCCCTTAGGCACTTCCTGCCCTTCAACCACTAGTTCCTGTTTGAGGGCAAAGAGGGGGCCGCTGTCTTCACCCCAGAGCCAAATATACTGACTGGGGTCTGGAAACTGCAATCCTCCTGGGTTTAAGAGGAATTCTGGAGAGTGGGGAGCAGAAGCCCAGGTGGAGGCCATAAGGACTGTGGGCATAGAAAGGGATTGTCTTTCATTATTTGGGGAGCAGAGACTCAGAGGATTCCACGGTCCAGGGAAACTCAAATCCATACTCTCCCTCCCCTCATCTTAGCTTCACCTGACTCGGATGTGACCATCCTCCCACCAAGTCCCTGCCCATTCCCAGCTTACCCAGAGCCTGTGGCCTGCAGGATAAAGAGACTCCAAACTGGCCAGGGCTGTCTGGCTGGAGAGAAGTGTTGTCACTTCAGACATTCCTGCCTCTCCTCTGGTTTTAACTTCTCCCCCAGCCTGGGTTCCTCCCCAGCTTTGCTAGGAGAGGAAGTCCGGCTTGAGGGTTAGGGTTACAACATCTTTTCTTTCAAACTCTTGGGCCTGTAGCTAGGGCTGTCATCTCCAGTCATTTCACAGATCCTGCCACTAGTCAGCCAACATCCACCTCCTTCAGGTGTCTTCCTTGGTTAACTTTTTCTATATTACCCCTCACACTGCATCTGTTGAGATTGCTTGATTTTGGTGTATGTATGTGGACACACACACCCCACTCCCACATCAGACTGGGAGCTCTCGCATATTTGGGGTGACCCACTTGTGTCTGATTAACAAACAGGAGACAGACTAGATCTGCCTGAGCCCTGTGGATTCATCTAGGGCAGAAAGTTGGTGACAAGTTGGTGACAGAAAGGAGGCATGCGCAATCCAGGTAAACTTCCTGTAGGAGGCAGCTTTCTGGCACTGAAAACAGAACTAAGTAAAGGCAGCAGCCTGAGGCCCTCTGGAGAGACCCGGGTGAAGGCTTCTTAGTGGCACTGTGATGGAGAAGGAGATGGGTGCTAGAGGATTGCAGGCTTACTCCTTGGGGAGGGTGAAGACTAGGAAACTCATGTAAGGCAAAGGGTGAGGAGGAGATCTGGTACTTGGGTGGGTCCATATTCATCTGCATTTCCCCTTCCAATTTCAAGAAACTTCTACTTCCTCCCTCACCCTTCTCCCCATCCTCCACGTTCCTTATGCTGAATAATATTCAGGGTTTTTTACAGTTGATTATTAAAAAGTACAAACATAGGATGAAATGAAAAGAATTGAACAGTGAACATATTCTTACCACCTAGACACTACTAGTTAACATTTTTTGTTTTGCTTTTGAGATGGGGAGTCTCGCTGTGTCACACAGCCTGAAGTGCAGTGGTGAAATCATAGCTCACTGCAGCCTTGAATTCCTGGGCTCAGTGATCCTCCCACCTCAGCATCCTGAGTAGCTAGGACTGCAGGCACCTGCTACCACATGAGGCTTTGTAGAGATGGGTCTTACGATGTTGCCCAGGCTGGTTTTGAACTCCTCGCCTCAAGCAATCGTTCCACCTTAGCCTCCCAAAGTGCTGGAATTACAGGAGTGACCCACTGCACCTGGCTCTATTAACATCTTTTATTTGCTTTATCACATATTTATCAATCCATCCCACTTTTAAATATCTTTAAAAATCGCAAATATCAGTACATTTTACATCTAAACCCTTCAGAAGCTTCACATTGACTGTAGTTCAGTATTTATTTCCCCATTTCTTTTCTGGCCTGAGGAAGACAAATTTTACATACAAATCTCAAGTCAGTACTCTTTTTTTTTTTTTACCGAATCTCTTGGCCAAAAGGCTGAGAAGCGATCTCTTTTTTTGAGATGGAGTCTTGCTCTGTCACCCCGGCTGGAGCGCAGTGGTGCAATCTGGGCTCCTTGCAACCTCTGCCTTCAGGGTTCAAGTGATTCTTCTGCCTCAGCCTCCTGAGTAGCTGGGACTACAGGTTTGTGCCACCACACCCAGCTAATTTTTGTATTTTTAATGGAGACAGGGTTTCACCATGTTGGCCAGGCTGGTCTTTAACTCTTGACCTCAAGTGATCCATCTGACTTGGTCTTCTAAAGTGCTGGGATTACAGGCATGAGCCACCGAGCCGGGCCCAGTACTCAGTTTTTAAACTGCCTTGCGGCCGAGTGTGTTGGCTCATGCCTGTAATCCCCAGGACTTTGGGAGGTCAAGGCGGGTGGATCACAAGGTCAAGAGATCGAGACGAGCTTGGCCAACATGGTGAAACCCTGTCTCTATTAAAAATACAAAAATTGCTGGGCACGGTGGCTCAAGCCTGTAATCCCAGCACTTTGGGAGGCTGAGGCGGGTGGATCACAAGGTCAAGAGATCGAGACCATCCTGGTCAACATGGTGAAACCCCATCTTTACTAAAAATACAAAATATTAGCTGGGCACGGTGGCACGTGCCTGTAATCCCAGCTACTCAGGAGGCTGAGGCAGGAGAATTGCCTGAACCCAGGAGGCAGAGGTTGCAGTGAGCCGAGATCGCGCCATTGCACTCCAGCCTGGGTAACAAAAGCGAAACTCTGTCTCAAAAAAAAAAATAAATAAAAATTTAAAAATAAATAAAAATACAAAAATTAGCCTGGTATGGTGGTATATGCCTGTAGTCTCAGCTACTTGGGAGGCTGAGGCAGGAGAATCGCTTGAACCTGGGAGGTGGATATTGCAGTGAGCTGAGAATCGCGCCACTGCACTGCAGCCTGACAACAGAGCGAGACTCCATCACAAAAATAAATAAATAAATAAACAAAACAAACTGCGTTGTCATCAAGGCTCTGGAGCCAGATGCCTGGGTTCAAGTCCTCGTTATGCCACTGGCTCTGTGAGCTCCATAAGATTCTTTTTTTTTGTTTCCCACAAATAAGACTTTCTATTTGCCACTATTATAAGTCTGAACTTTAAACAGATTCTTGGAGTGGTGGTTCATATCCATCAGCTCGTTCAACTTTAGCACCTGTCTCATCGTCAGTGGCTTTTCCAGAGCTACTGCCTTCACCACGAAGCTCCATGAGTTTTCCCAAGTCAAACTTGGGCTTCTTCAGCATTTTTACTTTTCTAACAGAGACATCATGGAGAGGATAAACAGATTGGCAGGGCTTTTCCATGTCTTTCCCAATGCTGTCTGGAATCCATTTATTGACCACTTCTTTCAAGTCATTTGTCTGCACCTCTTGGGTCATGATTTCCATCATCTTCTTCCGGATTTGGCGGACCTGTTGGTGCTGAGCATAAGAGGTCTTCCGTATCTGATTGTTGCGTTTTTTAGTAAAACCAACACAGAACAGACGAAGCAAGTAACCACCGGTAGTCTTGACATCAACATGAGCTTCAATCATCTGCCATTTTTTGACCATGGAACACATTTTGTCACGGGTAAGATCCATGCCATGGAAGTTAGTCAGGCAGTTTTTGCCCTGAACATCTTCAGTAATCAGCTTGAATTTCCTAAATGCAACCTCATCATTCTGCAAATCAGCAAGACTAACTTCAAACACTCGACCCTTGAGGCCATCAGATGCAATTTTGGTTCCTTGGGTCCTGGTGACTAGCATCTTTCCAATATTTCTTATATTGAACATAGCGGGTGCTTTTTTTTTTTTTATGAATGAGGCAATTTATTAACCCAGCATAGTTTGTTCTAATGCTTCTTGTTGGCAGCTGCCACCTGTCTGGTGATTTTGTCCAGATCTCTCTGTCCCTGAGGTGTCAGTTTGTGGCCCCCATCTTGGTCCTTTTCCACCATTTTCAGCCCCTCCAGGGCTTGGAGGACCCGGTGGGCCACACTCTTGGAGTCTCGGCTGAAGTGGCTGGGCATGACGCTATTTCTCTGACGTCCCCCATAGATCTTGGTCATGGAGCCAACCCCAGCGCCACCCTGGAGGTACAGGTGCTGCGCTGTGGAAGCAGCTCGCGTGTAGAACCAGTTCTCATCGTAGGGAGCAAGCTCTTTGTGCTTGGCCAGCTTGACGGTGTCCACCCATTCAGGGACTTTCAGCTTCCCGGACTTTTTGAGAAAGGCTGCCAGAGCTCCGACGAACTCCTGCTGGTTCACATCTTTTACAGTAACTCCAGGCATCATGCGGCCTCCGCGCTGCCAGCCAGGGGAAAAGCGCAGGTGCTTTCACATCATACCAATCTTTCTTAGAAAATGGATCAACCACTTTCTTCTTGGCTCCCTTTTTGCTGCCTTTCGTAAGGCGCTGATTCTTGCCAACCGCCATGGTGCTGCTCAGAGAGCCAAAAGGGCGCTCCATAAGATTCTTAACCTCTCTGTGCCCCAGTTTCCTCTTAGAGTTTTTGTCAGGATTATAATTATTGGCTGGGCATGGTGGCTCATGCCTGTAATCCCAGCATTTTAGGAGGCCAACACCAGCTGATCACTTGAGTCCAGGAGTTTGAGCCCAGCCTGGGCAACATGGCAAAAACCCATCTCTATAAAAGATACAAAAATTAGCTGGGTGTGATGGCATGTGCCTGTAATCCCAGCTATTCAGAAGGCTGAGGTGGGTAGATGGAAACAGCCTGGAAGTCAAGGCTGCAGTGAGCCATGATCCTGTCACTGCATTCCAGCTTGGGCGGCATAGCAAGACCCTGTTTCAGAAAAAAAAAAGTATGGAAGTGTGTAATTCAGTGGCATACACATACTAAGTGCATTTTGTGTATCAGGTATATTATTCTTACTGTTACCCAAACACATAGAGATGTTACCAGGAAAGGGAGATGACTGGGCCCCTCCCAGATTCCCTGGACCTGGACTTGCCTCCCTTGACTCTTTTGGTTTTTTTTTTTATTTTTATTTTTTTTATATAAAAATGGGGTTTCTCCATGTTGGCTAGGCTGTTCTTGAACTCCAGACCTCAGGTGATCCACCCACCTCAGCCTCCCAAAGTGCTTGGATTACAGGCGTGAGCCACCGCGCCCGGCCTCCTCCCTTGACTCTTACCACTCATGCTGCCTTACATCTACTATTTGGTCCTTGCTGCTTTGTTTTGGTTATTCCTGCATTTATTTGTCCTTTTACTCATTTATGTATAAACATTTAGTGAGCACCTATTAATGGAGAGCGCTCATTGTAGACTTTGAAGCTCTTTGAGGGTGGGAGTATGCCGCATCCGTCTGTCTTTACTCTTTGCAGCAGGGAGGTAAAGCTCCATTTCCATCCCTCCTCAGTGAGTCAGCAGTTAGTGGTGAGGCTAAGGCTTACCTCTGCCTTTCTCACCCAGCACAGGGTCTGGAGGTGAGCAAGGGAATGGGAGGAGGTCAGCCCAGTATGGGAATCAGTTCTTCTCAGGGACCCAGACATCCATCCCTCAAGACTCCAGTCCTTGTCCTACTCCAGCCCTTGTCCTACTCCAGTCCTTGTCCTACTCCAGTCCTTGTCCTACTCCAGCCCTTGTCTTCAGGTTTGTGGGTCAGCTCTTCCTTCAGCACTGATCTTGAGGGTATAGAAGAATGCAAACCACATTGGAAACCTGGAGATCGGTGTTCTCATTTCAGCTCTGCTGACTGGCTTTCTGCAAGCTACCTTCCCTCCCCAGGCCTCAGTTTCCCTCTCTGCTGAGCCAGAAGATGTCTAAAGCCCCCTTTGGTTCCACCCTGAGAACCTATCTCCATACCCCAACTTCTCCCTCAGTTCAGAGAACCCAGGCATCCAGTTGCCCCACCCCAGCTCTGGGTAAACAGGAAGCTGGGTGAGGGGAGCCGGGGTGTGTGGAAAGTCCCAGCCAGGTGTATGGGTCTATAGGGAGGGGGTGGCCCCATCCCTGAGGTATGAAAGCCCCCGCTCTGCCTCTGGTTCAGTCTCAATGGGGGCAATGGGGCTGGAGGGCAGGGGTGGGAGGCTCCAGGGGAAAGGCACCCTCCTGCTCGCTGTGGCAGGAGCCACATTTCTGGTGACCCTGTTGCTGGTGGTGCCTATCACTGTCCTGGCTGTGCTGGCCTTGGTGCCCCAGGATCAGGGAGGACTGGTGAGTGGCTGCAACAGGTCCTGGTGGAGGGCTGTTTGTTGTGGATGCCGGGCTCCCTCTGGTTGTGCCTGTGGTCTTTTGCCCCCTCTGACTCAGCTGGCTCCGCTGTCCCTGGTGGGGATGTCTTGTGTCTTTGCTGACTCTCTTTCCATGTGCCTATGATGTTGTGCTTGTGTCCCAACGTCAGCCCCTTATGTCTCCTCTTCCCAAGGCACATCTGTCTCTGCCCAAGTGCCTAGGCCTTGCTTGCTCTCCCTTCTAGGGTGGTGTGGTTGGGGATGGTGCTGGTGGGAGAAACCCCAGGCCTGCAGCTTGAGTCCATTTTCAGAGGGGTAGGGGTGACATGAGCTGAATCTGAACTCTGGGCACTGTGACCCCCACCCAACCAGGTAACGGAGACCGCTGACCCCGGGGCACAGGCCCAGCAAGGACTGGGTAAGAGCTGACCGTTTCTCCTTACCCGCTCCAGCCCCTCAGGGGCTCCCAGCTCCCGGCTGCCTACCCAGAGACCTCTTCCTCCAGGAATCCAGGCTCCCCATCCCTGCACCCTGTCCTCTCAAGGGTCGCCAGCATGCGTGGGTGTCCTGGCCCCAATCGTGGACTCTATTATGCCCCTTCCAGGGTTTCAGAAGCTGCCGGAGGAGGAGCCAGAAACAGATCTCGGCCCCGAGCTCCCAGCTGCCCACCTCATAGGTAAGGATCTTAAAGACCCGAATAAGAATTTAAATAATCCGAAGGTTCCAGTTCTGCTCGCCCAGAGTCCCTGGGCTCCATGATTCGAGGGCTCGGTTTCCCACCACCTTTCACCTCTCGTGCCCACCCTTCCTCTCGTCCCCGCAGTGCATCTGCTTATTCTCTCCATCGCAGGCAAAAGCCGGCCCGGAGGTCCCCACTACAGCGCTCTGCGCCCAACATTCCTGTTCCCTCGGCCCCCAACTCGCACTCATCCCAGAGACATTAACCCCCTCCCCTCGACACACACACACCCCGCCCCAGCCCCGCTCGGCTCCCACCGGGGCTAAAAGCCGCCACCCTCCCAGAACCCGAGCCTTTAGGATCGTTTTCCCAAGAGCGCGCGGGCCCATGTCTCCGCAGGCGCTCCGCTGAAGGGGCAGGGGCTAGCCTGGGAGGCGACGAAGGAACAGGCGTTTCTGAGCAGCGGGACGCAGTTCTCGGACGCCGAGGGGCTGGCTCTCCCTCAGGACGGCCTCTATTACCTCTACTGTTTCGTCGGCTACCGGGGCCGGGCGCCCCCTGGCGGCGAGGGTCCCCGGGGCCGCTCGGTCACGCTGCGCAGCTCGCTGTACCGGGAGGGGGGCGCCTACGGGCCGGGCACTCCCGAGCTGCTGCTCGAGGGCGCCGAGACCGTGACCATCGTGCTGGACCCGGCCGGGAGGCAAGGGTACGGGCCTCTCTGGTACACGAGCGTGGGGTTCGGAGGCCTGGTGCAGCTCCGGAGGGGCGAGAAGGTGTACGTCAACATCAGTCACCCCGATATGGTGGACTTCGCCAGAGGGAAGACCTTCTTTGGGGCTGTGATGGTGGGGTGAGGGGATATGACTGCGTGATGCGAGTGTGTGAATATTGGGGTCCCGGACGCCCAGGACCCCATGGCAGTGGGAAAAATGTAGGAGACTGTTTGGAAATTGATTTTGAGTCTGATGAAAATAAAGAATGGAAAGCTTCAGTGCTGCTGATGATACAGATGCTGAGATGTGACGCGTCTTAATTCAGGATGGGTGCACGGGTGTGGGTTAAATATTCTCTGTACTTTTCTGGTTGCTTGAAACAATTCACCACAACACAATGTATGGGCTTTGCTCCTGGGAATGGTGGTCTGCTGATCCCACCCCTCCCTGCCTCCGAATGGCCCGGCCCGGCTATTAGTCCAGCTGGAAGGTGGAGGAAGGGGGACTCCTCAAACTCCTAAGCTTCTCCAGGCATCCTGATTTTCAGGCCCACATGGTCCCAACCAGACTGCACCACACTCTTTTTTCTTGGGTCCCCTCCAACAGTGAGAGGGGTCGCTACAGAGCACAGCAAGCACCGCTCAGAAAGGCCCAGCAGCAGAGTAAGCCCCCATCATGATAGATGAATGAGGCGTGGAGGGGCCCCGCACTTCTCCCCCAGGGCTGCCTGAAGGCCGCTTTCTCTCCTACCTCACAGTCAGCTCTTCTCCAAGGAGCTTAATTCAAGGCTCATGGGGGCTGATGGGAGGAGACTGAAGGAGAAAGAAGGGGAAGATATTAGAGAGAGATGGGGATGACGGAAGGTCTGTGGTGCCCGAAAACACCAGGAAATTCTGGGGAGGTGTAAAAACCAATGCCACAATGTCCCGTTAAGGGTGAGGCAGAAAATCCTTACCTTTTTTTCACACTTTAGGTCCCCCTTCCCAAAAGTGAGTAAGTGTGGGTGCCTCGGGGTAACGGTAGTCCCTCCTTCACGACCGACTTTCAGCCACAGGCTGGGGGAGGCAGAGGGTGACCCAAGGCCCTATCTAGGTCGCCCCACTGGGTCACCCCACCCCCTCAGCCTACCACACAGTTTTCTCCTGCCTGGCACCCCACGGCTGGTGGTAAAGCCTAATTTCTGAGTTCACTGGGGGCTCCCAGTCTTGGGGTGCTCAATCTCTGCCTCCATATTTGTTTTTGGAATACGATTTTTGAGACAGGGTCTCATTGTGTCACCCAGATGGGGGGTACAGTGGCATGATCATAGTTCATTGTAACCTCAAACCCTGGGCTTGAGTGATATTCCTGTCTCAGCCTCCTGAGTAGCTAGGACTACAGGCATGCCCCACCTGGCTAATTTTTTTTTTTTTGAGATGGAGTTTCGCTCTTGTTGCCCAGGCTGGAGAAAACCATGTGGTAGTGGAGTGCAATGGTGTGATCTTGGCTCATCACAACCTCTGCCTCCTGGGTTCAAGTGATTCTCCTGCCTCAGCCCCTCGAGTAGCTGGGATTATAGGCATGTGCCACCATGTCCTGCTAATCTTGTATTTTTAGTAGAGATGAGGTTTCTCCATGTTGGTCAGGCTGGTCTCGAACTCCTGATCTCATGATCCACCTGCCTCATCTTCCCAAAGTGCTGGGATCACAGGCGTGAGCCACGGTGCCTGGCCCCCCTGGCTAATTTTTAAATTTTTTTGTAGAAACAAAGTCTTGTTATGTTTCATAGGCTGGTCTTGAACTAGTGGGCTCAAGTGATTCTCCCACCTTAGCCTCCCAAAATGCTCGGATTACAGGCATGAGCCACTGCACCTGCCCCTTATTTGTCTTTGACTCTGTTAAGAAGATCCTTCATTGGGGAAGGGGGTGCTTTTCTCTTTCCAGATCACCCGAGTGGGACCAAGCTGGCTTGTGAGTCCTTCACCCACCTCTTATTCCCATATATTTTGCTTTTTAAAAAAATAGAGGCAGGATGACAGGATGTCACTATGTTGCCCAGGTTGCTCTTGAGCTCCTGGGTTCAAGCCACCTTCTCACCTTGATCTCCTGAAGTGAAGGGATTACAGGTGCATGCCACCACGCCCAGCAGTTCAGTTCCTTCTTTATTGTCTTCAATCTCTTCAATTTCACCCACTGAGAGAATGGAAGGGGATAGGACAGCTGGAAACTGGTTGAAGGAAGTAAGCCGGAATTCACTGAGTGCCCACTGTGCCAAGGGCTGAGTGAGGCCCTCTGATGGAGGTCAAGCCTCCTCTCACATGCCCTATATGTGGAGGACGTTCCTATCTTCATTGGTTCGATAGGTTAAGTGGCTGGTTCAGGAGGCAGAGTCAGGACAGGGTGATTTGAAGCTTAGATACCTGAATCTCTGGAAGTCCCTTGACTGTGATTCAGGTACCTGAGAATGTGGCTCCTCCCCAGCTTTCTCCGCTGGCTGGCCAGCTGCAGCAGCCGGAAATCTCACCTGAGCTGTAGGATTTTCCCAGCAAGGACTGGAATTCCCAGAATTGGAAATTCCCATGCCCTGAGGGAGAGGTAATTAGGTTCAGGTTCCTGTTTCCTGGGGGATGGGGAATATTCTGCTGGGCTTTGTTTATGTAGGACCCCAGGAGTCTAAGGATGGGACTGGGTCTGAGGGATCTTAATCTCTGTGCAGACAGGACTTTGGGAGCTTCTTCCCACTCCCAACAAGAGGCAGATGCAGAATTAATTCCAAAAAGGAGACCATGTTTCTTTTCTAAGCAAACTTTATTTCTCGCCACTGAATAGTAGGGCGATTACAGACAACTCCCCTGGGGAGCAGAGGTTCAGCGATGAGTGACAGTCAGTCACCAGATCAGTACTGTTCAGACAACTTAATCAGATGAATATTTTTAAAAACATAATCAAAAGAAGGCACAGAGGCCAGGAGGCTACATGGGAACAACCTGTTATTCAGCTCTGTTTTCACAGAAAACATGTCTGGCCAAGGCGGCTCTTACATTGGGTCCCCCGGGATGCCTCGACCTCCTAAATAAATACATATTCGTTGATAAATAAATAAATAATAAATAAATAATAAATAATCACAGGTGCAAACATAAATAGAGGGGCTGGCTTCACGGGGAGGGCCAGGCTCTATGTCTCAGGGCAGTCTGGAAACATCTGGAGAAAGGAAGGCCGAGGTCACTTATGTCAACTTCTGGGTGAGTCTCCTCAAGCCCTGCAACGTTCTGGCAGGAACCAAAGGCTCCTGGTCCCCAGATGTCACAGACTGAGTTCGGAGATCGAAGCTGCAGGCCCCGGTGAGTTCTGGAGGCCCCAGTCTGAATTCTTGGTGGTTGCCAGTGCTTGACTGTGCAGGCCACACTCTCCTGAATCCGGGCTTTCGAATGGTGTTGCTTAAAGTTCTAAGCCTGGGGTCCGACCCTAAGCCCCTAATTCTCTTTTAAGCCAGAAGAGGATGAGGATGTCTGAAGGAGGGGATAATAAAGGGATTGGGGCAGGGGAGGGGTTTGGGAAGGATGGATGTCTGTCCTCCTCACAGGCCAATGATCCCAAAGTAGACCTGCCCAGACTCAGCCAAGTCGAGATAGTCAGGCAGATTGATCTCAGCGCTGAGTCGATCACCCTTCTCCAGCTGGAAGACCCCTCCCAGGTAGATGGGCTCATACCAGGGATTGGTCTTAGCGCCCTGTGGGGTCTCCCTCTGGCAGGGGCTCTTGATGGCAGAGAGGAGGTTGACCTTGGCCTGGTAGGAGACAGCGATGCGGCTGATGCTGTGGGTGAGGAGCATAAAGTTGGAGGGGCAGCCTTGGCCCTTGAAGAGGACCTGGGAGTAGACGAGGTACAGCCCCTCTGATGGCACCACCAGCTGGTTATCTCTCAGCTCCACGCCATTGGCCAGGAGGGCATTGGCCCGGCGGTTCAGCCACTGGAGCTGCCCCTCAGCTTGAGGGTTTGCTGGAGGGAGGGAGAGAGAGAGAGGGGAGTCAGTGTGGCCATGTCGGTTCACTCTCCACATCCTGGCCCTCGAGCTCTGTCCACCCCACATCCGGTTCCTGTCCCCTCTGTCTGTCACCCCACATCCCACCTGGATGACGTTCTGAGTATCCCCCAAGCCCTGTGCTGTTCTTCCACCCTCCCCTTGAGCTCAGTGAGTCTTTCTCACACTGTCTCCAAGGCCTAACTATCCTCAGCCAGGCTTCAGTCCCCACATCCTATCCCTCCAAGTTACAAGACACATCTCAGAACTCTTACCTACAACATGGGCTACAGGCTTGTCACTCGGGATTCGAGAAGATGATCCTGAAGAGGAAAGAGAAAAGGAAAAGCTGAGACCCTTAAACTTCTAGAAAATACTTCCCTACTTTCACGTTCATCTGTCCTCCCCCCAAGAACAAAACTTTAAATTTCCCCCACTACTTCCATACCAGTACTCACCCTGCCCCCCAACCCAAACCCAGAATTAGGAAAGAGGTTTGGAGACACTTACTGACTGCCAGGGCCAGAGGGCTGATTAGAGAGAAGTCCTTGGGGAGCTGTTGAGGAGAAGGAGAATGGTTAGCATTGAGGGAGTCGCCCTGAAAGGAGGAACAGCTGGCTGCCTGCCTGGCCTGCGCTCTTAGCCCTGAGGTGTCTGCTTTTTTTCTCCATTCATCTGTGTATTCACTCTCCATGCGTTCAACAACTCTGTCACTGAGTGTCTTCTGAGCGCCAGACACCCTATCTTTATCTCTCCTTATCGCCCTCATCTCTCTCCTTAGTTCTCTCTCACATCTCTTTCTGTTTCACCATCTTTATTCGTATCACTTCTTTCTTCCCCATCTCTCTGTTACACCCACATCTGTCTCCATATCTTATTTATATATCTGCTTGCTCATTCATTCATTCACTCTATCCACACTTAGTGAACACCTCCTGTGTGCCAGACATCCTGTCTCTCCATCTTTCTCTCTCTCTTCCCCATCTCTTGGCACATCTCTTTCTGCATCCCCATCTTTCTCCACGTTTTTTCTCTCCAGCCTCCCTGTCAGCACACACGTCTTTTGCCCATTCCATCTCCCTCCCTCTCCTGTGTCTGTACTTCCCCTTGGGTGGGAGAGTGATGAAGGCTGGCAAGGCACTCACCTCGTCCTTCTGGGGGCCGATCACGCCGAAGTGCAGCAGGCAGAAGAGTGCGGTGGCACCTGCTACAAGCAGGAAGGAGAAGAGGCTGAGGAACAAGCGTCGCTTGGAGCCCTGGGGCCCCCGGGTCTTGGGGAGTGCCTCCTCGGCCAGCTCCACGTCCTGGATCATGGTTTCAGTGCTCATGGCTGTTCTTTCCAAAGGAGAGAGGGTGGAGCCTTGGGGCAGTACGTGAGAGGGAGATAACCCTCCCGGCAGCTCGTCTGGGGATGTGGTGTCTGAGGTTGTTTTCAGGGGGGTCTGGAATTGCTCCTCTCCCTCTTGGCTGGTCCTCTGCTGTCCTTGCCGAGGGAGCGTCTGCTGGCTGGGTGTGAAACAACTGCCTTTATAAAGTCCCTGAGGGGAGAAGAGGGCGGGGGAAAAGAATCAATCAACCAGCGGAAAACTTCCTTGGTGGAGAAACCCATGAGCTCATCTGGAGGAAGCGGTAGTGGGCCCTAAAGCTTCAGTCTCCGTTTCTTCTCCATCGCGGGGGTGGAGATTTGGAAAGTTGGGGACACCCAAGCATCAAGGATACTCCTCACGCTCCCCGCCCTCCCCGCTCCGATTCCTAGGGGCCCTTGTGGGCCAGTGACTGATTTGTGTGTAGGACCCTGGAGGCTGAAGTCCCTTCCCCCATGCCCCTCAAAGCCTATTGTCTGAATTTCTTGTGGGGACCAGGTCTGTGGTCTGTTTCCCTCCGATGTCCAGACAGGATGCAGGAAAAAGATAGAGGGAGAACTGGGAGGGGCTTCAGAAAGCTGAGTCCTCAAGGGAGGGAAAATGGAGTTGGAGGGAAAAGCTGAGTTGAGTCCTGAGGCCAGTGTTTGGGTCCCTGGGAGGAGAAGGAGCCAGGGATAGGGCAGCTCCATACTTGCGGGCAGGCTCAGGACCTCGGGGTAGGCTAGGTAGGGGTAGCAGGGACAAGCCTGGGACAGCCCCAGGGAGTGAAATCAGCCCCGGGAATTCACAGACCCCACTGGGGTATAGGGCTTCTCCTTTCATTCTGACCCTGGGACTCACACTGCTGGTTTCAGTCTTGGCTTCCAAGACACTCTGGGGTCCCTGATTTGTTCGTGAAGCTCTCATTTCTCACGGCCCCAGTGTGTGGCCATGTCTTCTTAAATATCCCCTATATTCTGTACCTGGAGGTCCTGGAGGCTCTTTGACTCCCTGGGGCCCTCTGTATGGCCCTGTCTTGGAGCGGGGGTCCCCACGCTCGACCCCCACAGCTCTGGACATTCTTCTACCCTTTGCTGAGGTCACATCTCCCCAGAGGTCTCCTGTCCCCCATTCCTCAGAGCCAATACAAGTGACCATATCTCCCAGTGGTTCCCTGACCCCCACCCCTCCAGACCCTGACTTTCCTTTGTCTTCTCAGCTCCTCCTTTGCTTCCCCTGCAGCAGTCTGGCTGCCTCGCCGGTGAGCCCATCACATGTCCCTGAAGCTCTCTGAGCCCTTTATCCTCTTGTTCTGCCCACAGTTGTTGCTCCCTTTGAGCCCTCTGTCCTGCCCTCCATTCCTTAGATAGACTGGGGAATTCTCACTCCCAGACAGACACGTACAAGCAGACAGCATTTCAGAGAAAAGAGATTTATTGGGCTTCATCAAGGGTGCAGATGCCTCTGTGTGGGGCTCTGGTCTGCAGCTGGCTTTCAGGGCCTTTTGCTGCCTTCTGAGGCCATGTGACCCCCCGTGATGCCTACTTCTTTCTTTCTCAGTCAGCCTTGTACCCATGCCCTCTCACTCCTCATTCCCCCTTGGATGTTCTTTTATTATTCCCCTCTCTCCATCCTCCATAAATAAATAATTTAATTTTTTGCCTTCATAAATAGTCCCCTCCCTGCCCCCAGTCATCCCCCAAGCTCCCCCACGTTTCTGCTCTTCCTCCGTGTGTGGATCTAGGCCCCACCTAGCTGGTGGGACAGACCAACAGCTTTGGGCGGGGAATTCCTAGACAGGCTTGAAATCCTCAGCCAGACAGACATCCGGGATGGTTCAGGCGGGTGTGGTCCCCTGGGATGCCTAGAATTCCTTCTTTGAAAGCTCCAGCTGACTTGATTGGGGAAGACTTGAGCTGGTGGAATGGTCAAAGGAGAGGCGGTGGTAACCCCTGAAATCGTCAGAATGGAGGCAGAATAGGGAGAAGGTCTTGAAATCAATTATTTTTTCTTTCCAAATTTTCCCAAGTTCTACAGAGCAAAGGCTCCAAAGAAGACAGTACTAGGGCTGAGGACTAGGTGGCCTATGCCATCTGTGTGGGTGGATAGCTGGTCTCCCTGGGTGAGCTGGAACGCAGCCCCATGGTACATCGAGTGCAGCCAGGGTTCCTGCAGCCCTGGATATACCATCTTCTGGGAGCTGAGGAGAGACACGTGGAAGGGGTACTGGGAGGAGAAGAGCTGGACCTCATGGGCCAGGTAGAGCGGGGTGGGTGTGGCCTTGGGAGAGTAGGCGTTCCCAGAGAAGACCACCTGGGAGTAGACAAAGTAGATGCCACTGGTGGGGACCAGGAGAGAATTGTTGCTCAAGGAGAAACCATCCTGAAGGAAGGCACGGTCCGTGTTCGCTCTCCAGCGCAGTGATTTCTGGTTGCTGGGGTCTCCTAGGAACAGCCATAGAGGATGGGGGTGGGAGGTCAGGGGTCTGGGTTAGAGGTCTCAATCCCCGAGGAAGCAGGCACTGAACAACTGAGTTCCTGGGGGATGGCTGGGGGAGGTGTAAGAGTGGGCTGCCAGTGTTTTTGGGGGGTGAAGAAAGTTGGGGGAGATCGGTGGATGCTTGGGTTCCTGAGGCAGGGGTAGGAGCAGAGCTGGTGGGGACATGTCTGGGAAGTCAGATGGATGTTTACCAACGAGGTGAGCAGCAGGTTTGAGGGTGCTGCGGGCAAGATGCATCTTGGGGTGCTGACGGGCAATCTGGGAGGCTGAAGGTGTGAGGCCAACACCAGGGAGCCCCTAGGGGAGAACAGAGTTGAGGGGGGGCTTTAGGGCTCAAGGTTTGGCTGGGCCACCCCAGAAACCCCCATTCTCCTGCTGCCTCACCTGGGCCCCAGGAAGCAGGGCCAGCAGCAGCCCCAGAAGGAGGAGGTGTAGGGGGGTGCCCTGCACCCTTGAGAGGAAGAGACGTTCAGGTGGTGTCATGGGGAAGAACCTGCAGAGAGAGAGAGAGAATGAGCGGGGCGGGGCACACTGCAGAAGACAGGCAACAGACCTCCTTCCCTGGGAGACAGCACCCCCCACCCCCGGAGAAAGAGATCGACAGAGAAGGGGACAGGATGCAGTCAGAGATACCCCAAGGTGAGCAGAGGGAGACAGAGAGAGATGGGAAGGGAACAGAGAGGGATCATGGTGGAAACAGAGAATGTGTGAGAGACAGAGACAAAGAGGCTGACAGATGGAGAGTCAGAGACAGGGAAGGAAACCAAAACCAAACCCACCAAGGCCCAGGCCCAGGCAGGCCGGGGATCCAGGCAGCAGGTGCAGGAGGGACCGAGGCCCAGGCAGAGGGCAGGACACTGCGGGGTGGTAGTCCGAAGCACGAACACGGGCAGCCCGAGGAGATGGGGCCAGAGAGTCTCACCTGCTGTGTGGAGCCCCTGGGCCCGGACGCTCAGGTCCCTTTATAGAGGAAGCGGCAGCGGCAGCGTGGCAGGCAGCGGGCGGGTTCTAGGTCGGGGCTGGGGCCCGGGGAAGCCCCCAGGGCTTAGACGATGCTGCTTTTCAGTCAAAGGCAGGAAAGGCTGAGGCCTAGAGGAGAACCACAGGCCAGGGCTCAGGTGACTGAATTCTGGGAAAGGGAGGCAGGTCAGGGGAATCGTGGGCCGGGAGGGCCAGGGAGTGGGGTCAGGCCTAGGAGTTCCAGAGAAGGGACAGTCAATTCGGAGAGGAGGAGGTTGAGCAGCTGGGGTGTGGGCTGGAGGCCTGGTTCCCTGAAGAGCAATCATATGTAACATCTCTGCACACTTGGCTGAGTACAGGCTTCTCTCTTTGCCCATTTTCTTCTCTTGTCCCTTTTCTTCTCTTGTCCTCTGTCCTTGTCCCAAACAACTCAAGTCATACTTGTTCCAGTATATGAACTTTTCAGCCCATCTGGCATGGTTCACATCAAGAAGGTCCATTATATATCCCTTCATCAGGGACATTCTGGTGTTTTCCTCTTGTCCAGGTGAAAATATTAATGGAGCCCCCTTCCATTCTTGAAAGGATCCTAGTTTGGAAGATAAATTTTTTGGTCCCCTTACCCAGAGATGATGCTGGACACATCGTACTCCTGAAGGATGCCCTCCATCTCGTCCTGGCCTCAGGTGGCTTCCACAGATCAGATTTATATAAGCCCAAATAAATACATACTCCAGGATCAACATGGCAGACTCCTTCCAAAGTTCTCTACAGGGGAAGTGTCAGAATTCCACATGGGTGAGGCTTAAGGGTGGTGACTTGCGGTGGGGTGGACACAGCTAAGGGACTTGTCCTGAAGTTGCATTTGCAGAGCCAATACATTATTTTAAAACTGTTCCAGGCTGTGTGCAGTGGCTCACACCTGTAATCCCAGCACTTTGGGAGTCTGAGGTGGGTGGATTACTTGAGGTCAGAGGTCAGAATTTCGAGACCAGCCTGGCCAACATGGTGAAACTCTGTCTTTAAAAAAAAATGCAAAAAATTAGCCAGGCGTGGTGGCGCACATCTGTAGTCCCAACTACTCGGGAAGCTAAGGCTGGAGAATCGTTTGAACTGGGGAGGCAGAGGCTGCAGTGAGCCAAGATCGCACCATTGCACTCCAGCCTGGGGGACAGAGCAAGATTCTGTCTCAAGAAAAAAAAAGTTCCGAGTATTTTTTCCTTTTTATTGATATGTAACAGAGGTTTGAGGGGGACACCTCTTAAGTGTACAGCTGATGAATTTTTCCATCTCTTTGTAGCCGTGTAGCCACTGCCAAGCTCCAAGTATTTTCAGGTCCCCAGTAGGTTCCCTCATGCCCCTTCCCTGCTGATACCCTTCAAAGACAACCAACCACTCTCTGACCTTTATCCCCATAGATTAGTTCCTCCTGCTTTGGGGTATCATAGAAATGAAATCGTATAGAATCGACACATTTCTGTTTGGCTTCTTTCAGTCAGCATTTTGTTTGTGAGATTCATCCATGTGGTTGCATGTATCGGTAGTGGTTTTTTTATTATATTGTGATGTAATATTCTATCATATCAATATACTCGAATATATTCTTCTGTTGATGGACATTTGGTTTGTTTCTAGTTTTTGACTAACACAAAAAATGTTGATACCAACATTCTCATACAGGAGCCCATTTTCACTTAGCTTGCAAGTTACAAGGTTTAAAAAAAAGCAAAATTTCTAAAGATGACTTTATTCACTTTTCCTAAGTTTGAGATAATACCAACTGGTCACCTCAAATATTATTACTGCTATTGGTGTGATTTTACTTGGACGGTGTTGAGAGGTTGGAGCTGGGGCTGGTGGTGACCCAGGGGAAAGCCCTCTGTTGCATGAGGCAGGCCGATTTTCTCCCCAGGCACAAGGTCCCTGAGGGGTCTTGGAGTAACGTGGAGGGACATGGAAGTAACATTCTGGGTGTGTATGAGCTATTTCTTCTGTTCTGCTCCACTTGAGGCCCTGCACCTTTGCCTTTTATGCTTTACTAGTCTTAGCTATATTTCTTTTTATTCTGTAGGGCAGAAAGGGGTGATTCCTTCCTGACTCATCATGAAGGTCATGGCCAGTACTCCTGTAACAAAAGACAGGTTAACAGGAGAAAAGCACAACACATTTATTTAATCAAAGTTTTAAGGGACACGGGAGCCTTTGGTAATGAAGCCCTAAGGACCCATGGAAAACTATTTTTATGCTTAGATTTGGTGAAGAATGGACAACTATGCAGAAATATAATTGAACAAAACAAGCATAATTTAATGGGGTTGGGGGGAACCCAGGAAGGCCAGCCATATTCTTGGTCTCTCTGTAAAGCATTCCATCCTTCCAGGTATAGGGTAGAACCTCTTCTGGAATGAGGGTTTTTTTTTTTGAGACGGAGTCTCGCTTGGTCACCCAGGCTGGAGTGGAGTGGTGAAATCTTGGCTTATCGCAACCTCCACCTCCTGGGTTCAAGTGATTCTCCTGCCTCAGCCTCCTGAGTAGCTGGGATTACAGAGGTGAACCACCGTGCCCGGCTGGAATGAGGCTCTTATAACCTACTATTAGATGAGGTAGGTCAGAAAATTTCTTTTCATTTTTTTTTGAGACAGAATCTAGCTCTGTAGCCCAGGCTGGAGTGCAGTGGCACAATCTCGGCTCACTGCAACCTCTGCCTCCCAGGTTCAAGCAATTCTCATGCCTCACCTCCTAAGTAGCTGGGACTACAGGCATGCACCACCACTCTTCTCATTCTTTTAACCTTATTAACTCTCACGTCAGTGTTGATTTCCCTCTTAGGCCCTGCTCCTTTCTTTTTCTCTGCATCGCCCTTTCTCTCAGGGTTCTTTTTGCTTCCTGTTGTCTCTTTCTGCTTCTCTAATGGTATGAGCTGATGGATTGAGACCCCAGCTGAGCTATATTAAAACATAAAATGGTATTCCAAGGCCGGGTTCAGTGGCTCACACCTGTAATCCCAGCATTTTGGGAGGCCAAGGCGGGTGAATCATGAGGTCAGGAGATAGAGACTATCCTGGCTAACATGATGAAACTGCATCTCTAGTAAAAATACAAAAAATTAGCCGGGCGTGGTGGCTTGTTCCTGTAGTCCCAGCTACTGGGGAGGCTGATGAGGGGAATCACTTGAACCCAGGAGGTGGAGGTTGCAGCTAGCCAAGATCTCACCACTGCATTCCAGCCTGGGTGACAGAGAGAGACTCCATCTCAAAAACAAAAAAAAAAATAAAAAACAGCACTGTAATTGCAATTAATAGTGGGAGAGAGAAAGAGAGAAATTTAAATCAAAGTGGAAGAATGGGACATTGAGGGACAAAAAAGGGAAGCCAGGAAGGAGTGATGGGAGAAGAGAGACACAGAGGAAGGAAGGGCAAGACTGGGCCAAGGCTCAGTGTCACGTGCATGTGAGATGTGCTGAAGGATGCTCCTTGAGACGGGCCAATCTTGGTTTCAATCTCAGTTTCGGAGGTTCTTTGAAATTTGGTTTCTTTCTTGGGCAGGCCAACAGTTGGTTTGGGACTTTCCCTGGGTGGGAGAACTGATGACTGGAGACTTGTGCCTCAAACTCAGGAAAATACAGTCTTTATAGTGGTCTTTGTGGAGAAACTAGTGAAATCTCTGAGGCCTCCAGATGAGGCTGAAATGACATTAGCTTCGAACTTGAACTTAGCCTCAAAACCTAAATTGGGATTTAATACCAAATTCAACCCTAACCCAAATTTAACCTCAACCCAAATCACAACTCAAACCCAGCTCCAACTGTAACCGTAACCTCAAATCTAAGCACATCCCAATTAATAACACCCCAAATAAAACTTCTGTACACTAACCCAACCCTGTTTCTAGGGCTAATCCTGAAACCAGTTTACCACCACTCCTAACAGTAAACTTAAATCTGACTCTACACATAAGTCCAATCTGAGCCACAAGCCTAAAGTTAAACTTTATCCTGCTTTATGAATTATTCATCCATCCCTCCATTTAGTATCTGAGTGCCTACCGCATGCTGGGCATTGTTCTAGCAGGACGGACGTAGAGGCAGAGGAATCAGAGAAGGTGCCGGCTCCTGTGGAGCTTGAATTCCAGTGAGGCCAGACAGAAAAGAAAGAAACTGAAGAAGAAAGGAATAAGAATTTAAAAAAAAAAAAAAAGAAATAAAAATTAAAAAAAAAGAAACAAGAAGAAATCGGTACACAGTGCTAAGAGAAAATAAGACAGGCTGATGTAATAAGAGGGGCAGGGAGCTACTTTTAAATACAGTAGTCAGCAAAATCCTCTTCGAGTGATTGCATGGCACTGGAGCTGAGGCCCAAATGAAAAGAAATAGTGACCAGGTAAAAGATTGGGAGCAAAAAAAAAAAAAAAGTTTGGGAGCAAAGCATTCCAGGTAAAGGGAGCAACGACTGCGAAGGCTGGAAGGCAGAACCAAGCTGGGGGTGTTGAAGACAAACAGAAGGCCAGTGTGGCTGGAGCAGATAAGAAGCTGGG